CCTGCCTCCCCTTCTCTCCCAGGAAGAAAACACAAACACACTCCTTTCATAAGTGTGTGATGATAAGAACGCTGCTGGCAGGCAGGACCACCAGGGGCCCTACCGTCTCTTTCCCAGATTCCAGGGAAATTAGAGGAGAGGGGATTCAGAATTCCAAGAGCCTGTTCTGCCTGCGGCTGTGGCTTCATTTGGCGTTGCAGAAAAACTGAAGCGAACACCCAGCAAATTTAGGTGGAAGAGAGAAAGCAGTTTCCTGGAGGGGCGACCACCAGGGAGGGAGGAGCCGGGGGCAGACTTCCTGCCTGTCATCGGACTGCTCAAAAGAAAGAACGCCAACTTGGAATCAGCACTCAGCTTTCTACTTACTAGCTGAGTGAACTTTGGTACATCACTTAAACTCTTTGATGCGCCTAAGTTGGGGACAATTATCTTAACTCCCAGGACTGTCTGTCACAGGTCTAAATGAGAGTTTCTGTGAAATTGCACAGCCAGGAACCAACAACATTTAATAAAGGACTGATTAGCAGAGAGAGAGGTCAGGATGAGGTAAGGGGAAGGCCTTGGTGAAGGGTACGTTAGATTCTTGGATTGGGGTGACTGGGAAAATGAGGGAAAGGGGGTGACTGGGAAAATATATTTGGGAAGGCATTTTGCAATGGTAGTGTGCATACTGGTTAAGAAAGAAGATTCTGGTCGACAAGTGACCTTGGCCAAGTCCTCTAATGTCTCTGCTTCAGCCTCCTCTATGAAATGGGGGGTAATGATGGCATTTTTCTCCTTAAGTTATTGGGGGATCAGATGGATTATCAAGTGTAAAACGGTTAGAAGAGAGTCAGGCACATGGTAAACACCACATAAGCATTAGTTATGTTTGTACGCATCTTCAGGTGTCTCCCAATTCATAATGACCACCCCACGCATGGCCCTACCTTGTAGGGACCACCCTCCTCCTCAGTGTAAAATATCTCCAGCATCCAAGTGTTCACTGAGATCCTCAACCCCTTTCCACAGTGACCTGGTCGATTGCTCCAGGGGTTGGCTTTTGAACCAAGTGGAGCCAATCAGGGGCCTGTCTCTTGAAGTTGTGAACTTGAAGAGAGTAGCGAGAAAAGGGGAAAGAAGAGGCAGGGAGAAAGAGTTGAGAGAGAGAGGTTGGTTGGCTGAATGATTTCCTATTTGGCCGTCCTGGAAATACAAACTGTGGAACCACCATGTTTCCTACCTGAGAAGCAAAGAAAGATGGTGTGCAGAGGAAGAAGGAATAATGAATGGGACACACAGAGTCAAGAGATGTGGAAAGTCCTGATCACCTGGTGGCTCTTGGGTCCACGTCCTTCCCAGGGGTTGGCTGTGTGCTCTGCGAGACACTCCTTGATCCCTAGAATTGAACCCCTCTTTTACATAAGCTTCCTTGAGTTGGTGCTTCTAATTTGCAATCAAAATGCTCTACTCATCTTTTAGTTCAGAGGACAGAGTGAATTATGTATGACGGCTGACATCTATCTCCAGGAATTTCTGGTTATGATATTTATAGGTACTGACGTTCAACCATATGGGTTGAAATGCACACCCTCAGTAAAATTCACTGTGATGCCGGAAATAGAAAAATCCGGGCATGTGGAAAGAAGATAAGCCAGGGTGCTTTGTTTCAATACCTCTTCATTGAACTAGCCCCTATCTGAGAGCTTAATATTTTATTTAATTCTTAGTAGATGTGATATTTCTCACTTTTCCTCAGCATCAGCCAGGCTGGTTTAGGCAAAAGGAGAATTTACTTTTCCTGGAATCCAACTCAACTGAGGGAAAAGCAGTTATACAGTGGAGGGTCCAGAATAAGTAGAGTCCCTTTGTCTCTCGGTATGTTGGCTTCACTCTTCTGTCTTCTTTTCCCTCCATGGAAGAATTGAACATGGCTGTAGACAACCTTCTGCCACATGAAGACACAGCTCTGTGGGCCCACAGTCCACAGGTCCCAGTGAAGGGTTTCATTGGTTTAGCTGCATCCATCTCTGGACCAATCACATGTGACCAGGGTGGGCTTGGGAATTGGGATTGGGAATTGTGAGCAAGGAGCTTACTTACGTCCAGGACCAACTAACTATGACAAGGGGGCCACTGGCATGAATGAATATTGCAAAAGAAGACAGTCAATTTCCAGGAGAACAGGAGGCAGTAGTACACAGACTCTCACAGAAATCCTCAGTACCCTGAGTGTTTAAATATACCCTCCATATGCTATGAAATTATTCTTCATTGTCTGTAAATAATGACCAAGATTCACTTTAATTGCCTATATCATTGTCCAAGAAAGTCTAGTGCTACTTTGTCAACGACACCCTCTTTGGTATCAGAATACCTAGTGGCGTGTGTGGGCCAGGGGACAGAGTTCTTTGATCCACTGCTCAGAAATGAGCATCTTGGCTCCACTAGTAACAGCTGTTCACCTATGTCTTTTAAAAATTAAAATTAGCCCGTACAAGGTTCTTAAATTATCATGTGAAGCCTCAAAGTAAACAAAATAACTAAAATAAAGGTGCCATGGGCTAGTGCTTGAAGTGTGTGTGTGTGTGTGTGTGTGTGTGTGTGTGTGTGAGATATTTCCTTTAAGTGGCATGCATGAACACTTACTTGTTGTGGATGTCATAGTTGCTCAAGGGCAGGGCATGGACCAAATGACCTCTACTTTCTAGATAATCAGCTGAGCAGACACTGAGTTTACAAAAGTAAATTCTAAAGCCTTATTGATGTTTACTCCCATATCAAGCAGAATTTTCATACCCAAGAGCCTTTTACACTACCTTTAGCCAAATAACTGCATACTATTTTTAGCCACCAGACTGGACTCTACTACAGACTTTGAAGGTGTCCAAAAACAAGATGCAAACCATTTCAATAAAACTGCTTAAGCAGGAACAGGGATTTTTCCTGCCTCTTGGAATCTCTCTTTTGTTTCTCCTCCAGTAGAATTCCTTTCCACATGCACAAACCCTGAGACACTTCTTTCCATAAAGAGGAACGTTGAATGCCAAGCTCTGCTCGGGTCGCATCCTCCCTCGCAAGTCCCACAGCCCCCTACCCTCACTCACGTGGCCAAAGGAACCAGTAGGATCCTGTTATTTAAAGTGTTGCTATTTTGTTCTTCCTGGATATTTTTGCATGAATTATCATTTTCAAAATATTACATTAAAATATCATTGACTTCGATGACTGCACTTTCCCCCTTTAGTTTTTAAATTTTGCAGCTGAGGTCGTCACCCTGTCCCAATCACGTTTAGACAGACTTAAGGGTCCGGTGGAGCCTCTTCACTAGCACCTATCATGTTCAGCCTGGATTCTTCCCATCCCTAAAACTAGAAAGGTAATACCCCCGCAGGTCTGTTCGGAGGACTGCATGAGATGGTAGATGTAAACCATTTAACATGCTTGACACAGACTCAGTTCTCAGTAAGTGCTCCTAGCATTACTAGTGTTAATAATAACACAAACAGCAGCGCAGTAAGAATAGGAGATAACAACTTAGGCTCACAGTCGTGAACAGGAAGACGTAATCCCAGCCCTAGAGAAATCCTGTCTACGGGAGACAGACACGTAAATGAGTAGTCACCACTCGATGAAATGTCATAATAAAGGTTTACCTGCAGCATAAAGAAAGCACAAAAGTGGGGAGGACTGGCTCAGCTCTCAGAAAAAGGGTTTTAAGTTGAGGACTGAAGGCTGAGTGGGAGAGCTTGCTGAGTGGAGGAGAGAAGAAAGGTGATTCCAGCAGGAAACACTAGTGGGTAGAAACGCACCGAGGCTGGAAAGAGCCTGGGACGTTCAAAGGGAGACTTCCGTGTAGCTGGAATGGGGGAGTTCTGGTGGGAAAGTTGCGGGAGGTGTGACTAATAAGGGAGGATACGGTTTGTGGACTTGAAAGCCTTGAAGATCATGCTGAAGAAGTTAGGTTTTGTTCTGGGGACAATGGAGGATTCTATTGAAGGACCGTGAGGTTCTCTCTTGAGCGGTTCGTACACGAGGTTTTAGAACAGCAATCGGACAAAGGACGGACAGGAGAAGGGGAAGAAGTGGAGCCAGGGATACCCATCAGGAGGCTCTTGTTAAGATCCAGGTGTGAAAGATGAATGCCTCAATCGAAGCACTAGCAGTGATGCTGAAAAGCAGTGAAGAGATCGGACCCACACTTAAGAGGCGGAATCAGTGAGCCGGGTGGCAGTTTGAGTGTGGAGCCACGCGGGGAGGAAACAGAAACTGACAAAGACGAGGAGCCTTCATCCACAGTAACCAGATGAAAGCCACGTGAAGAGGAGTAAAGGGAGGTATGTGAACTTGGTGGGAGGAAGAAGATAAGGAGTAAGATGTTGAACACACCCAACGTGAAAAGCAGGGGCCTGTCCAAGTGGAAAGGCTCAACAGACAGATGGAACTCTTAAGTCTGGGACTCAGAAGAGAGGTGAGGCTGGAGTTTGAGTCTGGACTGATGAGAGGAAATACGTGTGCTGTGTCTGGGACAGCTGCCGTGAGAAAGGAGGGCTGGGGACCCAATCAGGGCGACTGTCCTCATCTCCTTCCTCTCTGAGCCTCAGTTTTATCCTTCCATGCCCCTTAGTAATCAGTGTGCTTCCTGTACTCCAGGGCTTTGGCCTGGTCCCCCTGGCCAGTGTCCTCAGAGTTTCCTTACCCTGGCTATTTGGTCTGCCATTTGGAGACGTCCATCCAGCTCGCGTCTGATCTGGGCCGCCTGCTCATCCGGATTGTCCAGCTGCACAAAAACACAAACATGGAGATGTTCAGTTTGGGTGACAAAAGCCACAAAATTCACAACTTCCCATTTTACACGCCCGCTAGTGCCCCCATGGACATAGTTCACTAAACGTTAAGGATCGTGTGACAGACAAGTCCAGTTGCTGGGAAATCCCAAACTAAATCCTTTTCAGGATGTGGTAGGCAGGTCGTTGCTAAGAAAGACATTTGAACGAGCTTGGATAAGAGTCACTTCTGAACCTCCAGGTAGCACTGCTCCTAATGAGGGCCTGATGCAGCTTTTGCGTTTTGGGGTCGAATGAAGAAAGTGTTTACAGGGCAGACACGCAAGGAGGGAGACGGTAATACAACTGTTAGTAATGAATTGAGCAAACATAGTCAATTATCCATAGAGTCCTCATGACACACATCCTGCTGCTCTCGCACCCCTGGACCATGGAAGATTAGTCAGTTACTGCATCCTTCCTCTCTGAGCCCTGAGACCTACTCAACCAGTCCTCCAGATGGCTGCTACCTCTCGGTTGGTGTTGATGTCTAGGTTGAAATCCACCTTTGCCTTCTCTGATTGGTAGGCAGTGCCCGAACTTCTCTGGTTTCAGTTTTCCCATTTATAGCATCAAGGGGTTGGTTACGTAATCTCATCATTCCTTTCACATCTCCCTATAAATCCATGAACGATATTGGCAAATACTTCTATAAAAGGCTGTACAATGAATACTCCAGCCTTTGAGGGCCATGAGATCGCCGTTGCAATGCCTCAGCTCTTCCAATGAAGTGAAAACAGACACGGACAACATGTCAATGAATGAGCAACGCTGTGTTCCAGTACAATTTTATGTACAACAGGTGGTGGTCCATTCCTGTTCATCCCTGTTCTATGAATTGAAGTTCTCTCTTTATTTTCAAACAAGGGCAGCATTATCCTTCAAACTGTAATGGATTCTGCTTTGTTCAGTGATTTACAATGTATTTACCACAGAAAAGTTTAATGAGTAGGGAACAGTGACATTCAAATAAAGTGCTCTGTTCTTCTTTTCAGAACATACTGATTCACAACAAAAAAGTATGATACAGATGAACTTGTTTACAAAACAGAAATAGACTCACAGACATAGAAAACAGATTTATGGATACCAAAGGGGGAAAGGGAGGCGATAAATTAGGAATTTGGGATTAACAAATATACACTATGATATGTAAAATAGATAAACAACAAGGTCCTACTGTATCGCACAGGGAACTACATTCAATATCTTGTAATAACCTATAATGAAAAAGAAAATGAAAAGAATATATATGTGTGCATATAACTGAGTTACTATGCTGTACACCAGAAATTAACACAGCATTATAAATCAACTATACTTCAATTAAATTTTTTTAAAAAGCAGATTACAAAATAAGTGAATTTTCTAAGTCCCTATTTTTGAAGTCATTTTTATTCAGAAATTTGAAAATGAAAACCCAGCTCCATGCGAAAAAAGAATCTCATCTACCCTATGAAATGATTTAGAAAGGAAGTTACTTCTAATACAATGTAAATAAGAACACTGGACAATTTATGGTCATAGTTTTGAAGCATCATGAGTAGGTTGATTTGTTTTATAAAACAAATGAAAATCTCTCTGGCTTTATGCAGGGCATCTTTATCACTCTGATCAATTCAGGAGTTGCTTTATCTTTTCTTTTCCACAGTTTCGATAAGCAGGACTGTTTTCTAGCTCATGAAGAACAGATTGAGACTTTGGGCCATATATTTGAAGGTAGAATTTCCCCAAGGGTGTTCTGCTGAGCAATTTTATTAGATACCCCAGAAGAAAAGGTTCAGAAGAGCTCCGAAAGAGTGGTCAGAAACATTTGGACAATGCTGTGTCGAATTGCACAAAGTCTCTGAGAAGTTCTGTGGTAAGGAAATCTGTTAGACTTTGACCAATTCAACCATTATTTAATTTAAAATTAATTTTTTTTTGCATAATGCCCAGAGAACATGAGTTGGAATTTCTGTTCTAAATAAATAAGGAGAACCCCTGGAAAGGAGTCACAACACTGACCAGTGGTCCATCCATCACCACTTGCCAATTGGCATACGCAGGAAACATGGTATTCTCATGCTGTTTTTAAGCTCCAATGAACTGTATTTTATTCTGTTCCCTTGGAAGCTCAAGACTTCTTCAGCTCTGGGTGCGAACCCACAGGGAACACTCAGAAATGTTCCAAATACGGATGCAAAGAAGACATCTGACTACTTCACTAGGAAGCAGCAAAACGATTTGGTTAGGGGCTAGAGCTGGGATTCTGTCAGAAGATGTGGTGCCCGCAGGGGTTAAAACTGAAAAATAAAAAAAACACAGCTCAGCAGAACCACCCCCGTTATGAAGTTCCTCAGAGGTGTCTGAGTTCTCCCACTGGCTTCATTGAATACAACTAGAAATGGCAAAGACCGAAAATGAACAGGCTGAGTCTACACTAAGCTTCATTCATTCATTCATTCATTGGTTCACTTCCTTATTCATTCATCCGATGTTTATGGCGTGTCCTGCAATGCAAGACACTGCAACACAGAAAGGAACAAGACAGACTCGGTCCCTGCCTCACGAAGCTTAAATCTAATAAGAACAGGAATGGTTATTTGAATAATTTGGGCACAAAAGGGAGGGGGTTAGCATTTACTGATGCCTATTTCAAGACTGTGTACTGTGGGACCTATTTTAAAACCTCTTCAAAGGTGTCCCAAGAAGTACATGTGAACATGTATTCTCCCAGGAAAAGGATTCTGGGGTCCAGAAACACTGCTCCCTCCTGAAAATTCATAATACCTATGAG